TTCCTTCCTTCCTTCCTTCCTTCCTTCCTTCCTTCCTTCCTTCTTTCTTTCTTTCTTTCTTTCTTTCTTTCTTTCAATTTTAGACAATGCCCCATGCGAGGTGTGTGGAGAGGTGCACTCCAGGGCACTGGAGAAGAGTTCCAGAGGGGAAGCCAGTTTGCTGCTACAGATGTGAACCTTGTGCAGAAGGGATGATTTCTGCCTTTACTGGTACAGTACCTCACATAGTATAAACCATGCATAAATGAAGAAGGTAAGGGAATAAGAGTGGTTTGGGGCCTAAGGGAAGCTCAAAGTAAGGAGAAGATTTCATACTTTTGGAATTATTTATCTCCTCTCTATATTGCAGACCCCTGTGCAATTCTCATTTACGAAGTGTTCAATATTTATGTAAGTTATGTTCTTTGTAAAAATGTAACAATTAGAACAGTAGCTTAGTAGTACCCTCATATGCAGCTTCCTTTCAATCCTAGCATTTCCACACCTTTTTGATGACCGTTTCTCACTTGGTTGAATTTTGTTGTTGTTAGCCGCGAAGTCATATCCAACCCACCTCGACCCCAGGACAACATTCCTCCAGCCCTTCCTGTCCTTCACCATCCCCCAGAGTCCACTTAAGCTAACATCAACTGCTTCAGTGACTCCATCTAGCCACCTCTTTCTCTGCCGTCTCCTCCTTCTTTTGCCATCTATTCTTCCCAGCATTAGACTCTTCTCCAAGGAGTCCTTCCTTCTCATTAGGTGGCCAAAGTATTTGAGTTTCAACTTCAGGATCTGGCCTTCTAAAGAGCAGTCAGGGTTGATTTCCTCTAGGATTGACTGGTTAGATAGCCTTGCAGTCCAAAGGACACACAGGAGTCTCCTTCAGCACCACAATTCAAAGGACTCAATTCTTCGGCGCTCAGTTGTCCTTATGGTCCAGCTTTCACAGCCCTACATTGCAACTGGGACTACCATAGCTTTGACTGTACGCACTTTTGTTGGCGGGGTGATATCTCTGCCTTTTAGTATTCTATCTAGTTTTGCCAAAGCTTTCCTCCCCAGGAGCAAGCATCTTTTAAATTCATGGCTGCAGTCCCCACCTGTGGTGATCTTGGAGCCCAGGAAAATATAATCTGTCACTTCCTCCAATTCTTCCCCATCTATTTGCCAGGAAGTGAGAGGACCAGATGCCATGATCTTAGTTTTCTTAATGTAGAGATTCAAGCCAACTTTTGTGCTCTCCTCCTTCACCCGCATCAAGAGGCTCTTTAGTTCCTCTTCACTTTCTGCCATGTTAGTGGTATCATCTGCATATCTGAGGTTGTTGATATTTCTCCCAGCAATCTTAATTGCAACTGGTGAGTCTTTGAGCCCCACCTTTGTCATGATGTGCTCTGCATATAATTTAAATATGCAGGGCAAAAGTATACAGCATGCCGAACTCCTTTCTCGATTTTGAACCAATCAGTAGTTCCGTGTCCAGTTCTCACTGTTGCTTCTTGACCCTCATACAGGTTTCTCAACAGAAAAATAAGATGGTCAGGTACTCCCATCTCTTAAAGAACTTGCCACATTTGGTTGTGATCCACACAACCACAGGTTTCAGCATAGTCAAAGAAGTAGAAGTAGATGTTTTTCTGGAACTCCCTAGCTTTCTCCATGATCCAGCGTATGTTGGCAATTTGATCTCTATTTCATCCTCTTCAAACTCCTGCCTGTATTCTGTTAGTTCTCGGTCCACATACTGCTGGAGCCTAGCTTGTAGGATTTTGAGCATAACTTTGCTGGCATGTGAA